AATATATGTTTATAATTTTATAAGTGCACGATGGCGTACAGCAATGTTTTACTTCTGTAATAAATTAGAATTTAAAAATTTACATAAAAATCCTTAAATATACCTAAATACCTTAAATATGTTTTATAATAATGATAGCTGAATTTGGAGACGACATTGCGTTCATAACTTTATATCAAATTAAACCTAATTTTATTCTGTGTATATATATTCGATACCAATTTACAAACTCTTAGTTACGTAATCGAGGGCGCGATTGTTAAATTTATTGTTGCCAACTATAGCAGATATTCGTCGCCGGGCTGACTGACTGAAATTTAAATTTCTCTCTGGGGATTCAGGTGGCAGCTCTGCTGTAAAATATATCAAGTTGCCGCATTTATTTATTTATTTCCTGATATGTTTCTATAGTTTCATAAACATTAATAACTAAATAAAAATAAGTGTTTTTAGCCTTTTTTTAAACAACGGCAACAAACGGGCAATGGAACATTCTGTATATTGTAGGAGCATTTTAGTTATTAGACCTTATTACAGTTCATTAGTCCTAGTAATTTGTCAATTGTATAATTTGCTAATACGTTGTTGCAATGATCGCATACCAATACTGTTTATATTAGTTAGCGTTTACGTATGTATTTTGGTAACCCAGATAATATACCGTTTAGGTTGGTGACATTGCTATTGTACATTCAATTGTCAGTCTTCAATAAACACACATGAAAAGTAAGAAGTTGTGTTATTTGCTACAATATTATTCCTTTGTTAAATGGAGAATTAAAAAAATATTTTTTTAATATTTAAAGTACTTTAAAATCTGTATCTTGTGTCAATATTAGTCTGGTATTTTATCGTTGAATGAGCCGTATTATGCAATAAAAACGCGAATATTTGTGAAACCGTTAAAAATTTTGAAATACTCTAAGTGCAAAAAATATTATTTTGTATAATAGCTTTAAATTAATAATGAATAAATGTTATGAACGCAATGTCGTCTCCAAAATCAGTTATTGTTATTATTAATTCAACATATTTGCTGGAACTTTTTAATTGGCGCCCTATTAAAAGTGTATTTCCTTCCTATTTATATACCCTATTATAGTATCTATTTATATACCCTATAGATATACGCGTATTAGGTTTTGATTTAAAATATAATGAGCGTAATATTCCTGCAGCGGGATCCTGTACAACAACTGACGCTTAAAAAATTAAATTTAAATTATTTTTTTTCTAGAAGTTGAAAGCACACTAATATTTGATTGCCCTGAACATTATCCACACGTTTAAACAGTTTAATTACAGACTATTTACAACTACACAGTTTTTCACAATACGTTTTGCAGTTGAGAAATAGTTTCAAAATAAATTCCGCAGAAATTGGCCCATATTTTCGTTAGTTAAAGAATTTTGCTCTATTTTTTTCATCCTCAGATGTAGATACAAAACAACTTCTGAATTTGGTGGAAAGAACTTTGACGTTAAAGAGGTTAAAGAAAATGTTGCATTAACGCTTTGTTTTGATAAGCATTTAAATTTAACAATACGTAGCGAACTTGCATTTTAGTTGATATTTCTGCCTCTTATTAGAGAAAGTTCTCTCCAGTAGGTAAGTTCATTCGTATATATCTTCTATTAGCATTGGGTTTCAAACATATATCTTAGTCCAGTCTCTTCTTAAAACCCTATTGGGCAGGTATTTTTTATTTTATTTAAAATAAAATGGATGTATTTTAGTTTATAGCAGTTTTATGTTTATAATTTCAACTTCATTTAATGTCCATTTAATGTCATTTATTTGTATATAAAACTGTTACAAACTAATATAGGCGCTATGAAATCCTCCATTTTATTTTGTGAAAAGATCTATCAACAGGTTGTTGGAGAACCAACAAGACTTAGAGACTAAGGTAATGTGTCTTTTTTAATCCTAATGATACAATAGCAACATACATACTAGAGATCACTTTCTGAATTCTCTATATGGAGTCAATTGAATACTGCTTTTCAAGGCACCATAAAGTAAACTTTTCCTTACCTTCTACAGCATCAACACCAGATGCTGTTTTTAAGTATATATCAAATTTAGAAAAGCTTGGTAACTACACTTTGCAGATGAAGGGCAAAACAAGATGGAATGTTTTAACCAAATGCAGTTAACAAGCCAATTTTAACTATATTTATCTTTCAAAGTAATATTTCGCAACTGTAAACCTGTGAGAATAATGTCAAAGGAAATAATGTAATAATATATTTCAAATTCTGCAATTACAGGAAAAAGATAAAAAAGATAATTTAGTTTTAAGTACAAATTTATGATATGATTATGGGATGAAATAAAGATATAAGTGGTGGATGGAATATAGATATATGGTGGTGCCCGGTGGCGTAGAGGTACAGGCTCTCGTCTACCAATCTCAAGGTGTGGGTTCGATTCCCACACCCGGCATTTCATCAGCCGACTATTTTTATTAAAATAAAAATAGTTTGGGTACTTAGGTCGACTCAGCATTAAATGAGTACTTGGGATTCATAATCCTGAGGTAATAATAGGCGGTTGAAGCGTAGTGCTAGCCACATTACCTTCCTTGTATACCGAACGGCTCTAGTATAGCAAGCTGTACCTTGCTACTCCCAAGGCGTTAAACGCTATATACGGGAGCTATTATTATTATATAAAGATATATGTCAAATCATTTAAAAGTACTACTGTAAGTATATTGCTCCCTACTGTAACTGTAAGTATATTGCTCCGTATCAATAATAACTCGTAACTCAGTATCAATCAATTCGAAATTGGTCAAAGAATGCATAGAGAAGCTGAATAAATTAGGCAAAGAAAACAAAGTCCTCCTACACTGGGTGCCTGCTCACCAAGGGATAGAAGGCAATGAAAAAGCAAATAATCTAGCTAGGAAAGGAGCGAACACTCCACGAAATGGACCAGAACCGTTCTGCTTTCCAGGTGGTAACCAACTCAAGGCGGAACTCAAGAACTTGGAAGATTCCATCCGCAACCTGGAATGGAAATCTTGCAATGGTCTAAGACACTCGAAGAAGTTTCTGAGGGCTTATGATCAAGAAAAATCACAGATCTTCCTGGGTCTGAGTAAGAACAATCTTCGGATTGTCACGGCGTTTTAACAGGACACTGTCTCCTCAATGAACACCTCAGTAGATTGAAACTAAGAAGAAACGGCGAATGCAGATTCTGTGGGAAGATTGTGAAACACCAGTACACCTCATCACTGAGTGCGCCGAGACGACAACCATTCGTGCCATGAATTTTGGTACGACTGATATTGGAGATGGAGAACTACCCTCTATAAAACCGTCCCAGATACTGGCTTTTGTCAAAGCCCTGGGACTGTATGATGAGTTATGATTCAAGAAAGGGGGACACAATGGATCTGTAAGGTCGAAGTGATTAACCCCCCTCCCACTCATTCTAAATTCTAATTCTAAAGTATATTGCTCGGTACCTTATTTTTGAAACTTGGATCTCACTCATCTTTTTAAGTACTTCTCGTACGCCACTGAAAAAAGCTATTTTTTACTAGTGTAAATATTTTACAACGCTTTAATGTTTTATTGTTTTAAAATTTAATTTAAGAACATTATTTGATATATAAACCCTGAATTCAAACAACGTAATAAATTTGAAGAATTTTAAGCTCACATCATTGCACGTCACAGGTTTAACTAAATCATGCACTTATACAGTTTTGTAGGTAATTTTATAAGCAATAATTTTGATTTGGTTTAGCAATTTTTTAACAAAGTGGACAGTATCGGAAATATATAGCAAACACTAAAAAATTGTACCTATAAGTATTAAAGTTTTGGGGTGGTTTGTATGGATCCGGTTTGTACGGTGCGTCGGGCATCTGTAGATTCTAGAATACAGAACTTGAGAATTTTGTTTAAGTGCAAATCTAAAGTATGTACGAGGATGTATATATCAGGAAAATATTTTAACTTTTATAGGGCAGCTCAAAAAGGTGTGAGTGGATCGGGATAATTTTTTTGAATGGAACACCCTGTATATTATTGCATTTTTGGCTTCCTTTCAGAGTCTAAGATATGAGTAAATATATTTCGATAGTTTTAGAGATATTAGTAAATAAATAAAAATATATATTTTCCAGCCTTTCTTGAAAAAATATTAAAAATTGACAGAATGTTCAAAATTCTACGCCAAACTACTAACAAATATAAAATAATTTTTCTTCGCTCTTTTACATGAAACACCCTATATATTATTTCTTTTATTAGATGGACTGTTAAAAAAATAACATTTTTGTATATAAAGTATTTCAAAATTTTACTGGTTTTGCAGATACAGGTATTATATCATATCTTTCAACGGTAAAATGCGAGAGAAAAATCATTTGATGGCTTTGATAAAAATTTACTGTGGAAAATACTATATGAAATATAAAACCGGGAATATCTGCAAAACTGTTAACAATTCATACCATTTTGACATTGATCATTGATGACAGTTCTTGTATTTTTAATAATATCTTTAAGAAAGGCTGAAAATTATATATTTTTTATTTATTTATTAATATCTCTGAAACTATCGAAATATATTTATTCATATTTTATCATATAAAATTATCCGAAAGGAAGCCAAAAATGCAATAATATACAGGGTGTTCCATTTAAAAAAACTATCCCAATCCACTCACATTTTTTGAGCCACCCTATAGAAGTTAAATATTTTCCTGATATACATCTTAGTACGTCTATCCGTTCTGTAGCTACGGAGCATCCGTAAGGGGGGAAATGATATTATATGTTACCAGTAGCCAATAAAATGAGTGGGCGGAGTGTTTTGCGGTGACATACTCTTCAAGTCCACGTGGGCTCTTTGTCGCTTTTATTTAGGTTAGGATTTCATGGATAAACATGACTAAATTATTCTCCATATTTTTTCTGTTGAAAAATTTTGGTAAAACTCCATTAAATAACTACTAATTTTATTTAATTTTTAGTTATGTTAAGTCAAGAAAGTTTTCTTGACAGCCCTGAAGATTACCCGTTTTATACAGTACTATACTACCTGGAATTATTAGAACCTACATGGAACAGCACTTTACACCACCCAAACGTTCAAAAACTGTTAAGTTCCAATCAGAAATTTGACTTAGTCATCACAGAACATTTTTGGAGCGATTGTTTGAAAATATTTGCTCATATTTATAACTGCCCATTGGTCATATTCACCAGTATGGGTGGAATAAATTCATGGGTCAACGATCAAGTAGGGAATCTCTTGTTACCTTCTTACGTTACGCATACTATGAAGCTAAGAGTCTCCTCTGAAGAAACTAATTTTCGCGAACGGGCTCATAATTTACTATTTTATATCACTGATTATGTTTATAAGCATTATTTTTTGTTCCCAAACAGTAATGCTATGCTAAAAGGTGCCTTTAGTAACCCTCCTGACATAGCTGACATCTATGACAACGTTTCCCTGGTCCTTCTTGGTTCTCATTCAAGTCTACGTCCTGCCGCACCTTTATCACCAAATACTGTGGAAATTGGAGGATTTCATATCGATCCACCCAAAAAACTACCCAAAGACTTACAGGAAATCATGGACAATGCTAAAAATGGCGTGATATATTTTAGTATGGGTTCTCAATTGAGGAGTAAGGATTTTTCTGAAGAGAAAAAAAAGATCTTTTTGGATGTGTTTGCTAGGTTGGAACAGACGGTTTTGTGGAAGTTTGAAGATGAAACGTTACCTGGAAAGTCTAGTAATGTTTATATAAGAAAATGGTTGCCTCCGGTGGATTTATTAGGTACTTGTATAATAAATACTACTATCCAAAAAAAATCTTTATGGGATTTATCATTTCATTATATTCTTATAATATTTTGTAATTATTTATACTTTTTTTATTTATCATTTCATTATATTTTTATAATATTTTGTAATTATTTATACTAAAAGTTCACTTACATAGTAATACTTTAAGTATTTATTATAGGCTTGGTGCATTCTACTCTGGTGCTGCCACTATTGGAGAATACTCTAAGCAACCGACTAAACAAATACACGGGTTCAAGTAGCGAGTACTCGAAAATTTTGTTATAGTATTATTTGAAAAGTATTTGTAAGTGTAATTTGTGCAAATTTTAAAAAAACATTGTGCGTGTAATTTATTACTCAAGCTAACAAAACTATTTAGATTAACACCGGCGCCGCGCGCCGGCTGCTTGAACTGCGGTCGCGATCTTATTTTAATGCACCGGTTTTGCTAGTTGGGACGGCCATCTGTAACGATTTTTTTTAAAGGTACATAATTAAAATTTTAGAACACGAAAAATTTAAGTACTAGTTTATTAAAAAGAAGTATACTATTAATATTGATCAAATTGTATTTTATATTCATATTATATGCCTATTTAATATTTTGATTATGTAATGAGCACTTTTTCTACTCACTTGTCTCGTCGAACTGCTTGAATACTAAACGATTAATTAAATCGGTGTGATAAAGCTGAAATGTAAAATGAGAGGGACAATTATATTAAGTGTTATTGCACCCAACAACCACGCAAGTATGCTATACTTCTACTGTCAACAGTTTTTTGGGCAATTTTAGTATCATTTGAAATTGTCACAACATAACGTGTCATCTAGTTTGTTTTTTTTTCACTTCATTTTTACTATCAGAGTTGCTTTACATCCCTAGATCATACGAAGACTTGAAGTAAGTAATATTCTTAATGCCAAAAAGTCGGTTTCTCATGTTTTATTTGTAAAATGTCCTAAGTTCCATAAAAATTTGCACATATTCACATAGGTGGTGTTTATCAAGAACAAGTTAACAATTTGGAGTATCTAGGATATTATATAAACAATAATTGGACCAATACAACTGAATGAGAATAGAATGAGCTAAGGATTTGTTCAGAAAGATGATTAAAGTGCTTTGCAGCGGGGAGTTCCAACTACCTCTGAGAATAATACAATAATTTTTAATTTTTAACTCTATGATAATAATAATAGCTCCAGTATATAGCGTTTAACGCCTTGAGAGTAGCTTGCCATACTAGAGCCGTTCGGTACTACAACCTCTGAGAATACGGTTATTAAAATGTTATGTATTTTTGACTCTGAATAAGAGCGAGATAAAAAAAGTAGAAGACTTCAATGTGGTGTTACATGGGAATTTTAGGAAGGATATCATGAGTGACGAATATCAATAATGTTAGAGTGATGGAGATGCTGAATACGAGTACAGAAGTTATAAAAAGCGTAAGGACCAGAAAACTGGAATGCTTTGGATATCTTATGTGGCTAAATAGAACGCAGACGCTTAGCTGGAAGAAGAAGGACGTCCTGGCTCAAGAACTTGCGGGAGTGGTACGGAGTAAATACCAACAAGTTGTTTACAAAAGCCGTGAATAAAATATCATTGTCATCGATGGTAGCCAACGTTCTTCTAGGACAAGGCAATAAAGATGAAGAAGAACGAATATCAATATTCTTCTGAAATATAACCAGAAAGTATAAGTGCAGTTTAATATAAATAAAAGTACAACTGAATAATTTACTTAACTATGAAAAAATAATTCAAGGTCCTTTATATTAGAACTTCCACACACCCCACAATTTCTAGTCATTTTTACGAGTATTTAAAAAGTCCAACGAAAAAAAAATATAACTATAAATTGCACATACTTAAAATTAATTTCTCACTGAACACATTTGCAGCCTTTGCTATGTAAATGCGATCGACAAAAGAGTAATTAATAAAATATTTAAAATTAAAAAAAACGCAAATATACAAGCGTTACACCATGGAAATAAGATTATGACATTATTATTATATGATGACATTGATTGAACAGTTGGTTTTCAATAACGATGTATAATTTGTACATTTTAAGTCGTATAAAATTGTGATTATTTTGAAAACATTTGCGATTTTCAAAGCGCATGCGCAAAGTAACGTCCTCGGGAGAGACAAGCCTATTGACCGTTTCATAAGTGCAACAAAGAAGGTTTGAAAATGGCATGTCGTGATGTTGGAAACATCGTTTTTAATGTTAATCGTATGGCGTTTATGCATCCACGTAAGTATATACACACATGGCCAAAATTATTGCCATATAACGCCGTAAAATCAACAAAAACAAATTTCATTTTAAACAGAAAATATTGAAAAGAATTTTACTTATTTCTTACAAATAATAGTCTGTATTGCCTCCTCGAGCCTCAATGCAAGCTGTGAGAAGACGTGCCATGCTCTGAATTAAGTGGTCCAGAAGATGTTGAGGAATGGCCTCCCATGTTTCGCGCGCAGCAATTTTCAATTCATTTAAGGTATGGGGGGGATCATTCGTTTAGGCAAAATGGCGTTTTAGCATGTTCCAAGCTAGATCGCATTCATATCTGGATACATCGGTGGCCACCACAGTTTTCTTATACCTTCTTCTTCACAAAATTCGCGAACCGCTAAAGTGCGATGGGGAGGAGCATTATCGTCCATGTAAACAAATTCATCATCCACTGCCCATCGAAATGGACGCACAATAGGCTCTAAAACGTCTCTAAGATATGAGGCATCTGTCATTGTGCCATCAATAAAAACAAGAGGAGTTCGAGCTTCGTGCATTATACCTGCATATACCATAATGCCATATAGGGACACGGGGTTGAGCTGTATTCAAGCGTGGTCATCTTTCAGCTCTCCAAAGTTCGTCGCGCTAAGCCTATTCTTGTTTCATCACTAAACATGACGAAATTCCAATTAGGGCCATTTGCTCTCATCTCCTCAGCCCATTGTAGTCGCGTAATTTTGTGCTGTAAATTAAGTTTCGGAACACGTAGAGGTCTCCTTAAATGCAATCCTCTGTCATGGAGTTTTCTTGCTATGGACTTTCTTGAAACATTTACTCCTTCAAGGCGAGCTAACTAATTTTTAATAGCAGTACTAGAAAGCAGGAGATTGCTTCGTGCAATTAGGGATATTTGACGGTCTTGCACAGCACTAGTAACTCTCTCTCTCTCTCTCTCTCTCTCTCTCTCTCTCTCTCTCTCTCTCTACCTCTTCCAGGCCGGTCTGTAATCTCGTTTGTCTCCCTGAATTTTTTTAATATTCGCGAAACATCGCTTTGGTTAACTCCTACAATTTCAGCTATTGCAACTTGTCGGTAGTCCTGTTGACACAGTGTTACTATTCTGACCCTATTAAACTGTGAAATAATGTTTCTAGGCATTTTAAAGCCAAAACAATGGTCAAATTTCTTCTGAAACCCAAGAGACTACAAATCGAAATGTGCAAGAATCTGTAATAATATTGGGTCTGAACGATAAACATTGTTTACCATATCCATTTTAACAAAAAAATATTTATTACAGATTATCAAAGCTAGATTCTATAAATTTCTTTCCGTATATTTTTAAACGATATATGCAAAAATTTTGGCCATGTGTGTATGATCTAGGGTTACATCATACAAACTTCGTATCTGAGAATTTTATGGTTTCAGTAACTGCACTAGTAAAAACTAAAATACTTAAATATATGAAAAAGATACGATTTTAATATTATCTCGATGCCATCAACTGCGTGAAATACAGAGCCGGAAACGTCTGATTTCTGCCGTACCGACCGCTGAATGAAATGTACCAAGCCTATATAGATTCAATTTTGGATTATCAAGAAAACTTACAGTCTATCTTTCCTTTTAGCCCATCCAAATATGAAACTATTTATCACTCATGGTGGTTATGGTAGTCTTCAAGAAACCATCTACCACGGTGTACCAGTGTTAGCAATTTCTGTAGTAGCCGATCAGCATAATAATGCTTTCCAAGCAGTTCAACTGGGTTTTGGTTTAAAGCTCTCTTACAACGATAAAAACTTTAGTGAGAAAAACTTATTTAATAAGATTATAGAGTTGTTGGACAATCCAAAATACAGAGAAAATGCCCAGGCAAGGTCCAGGATATTTCATGATAGACCAATGAAACCCCTGGATACTGCCGTTTATTGGATTGAGTATGTTATTCGAAATAAGGGTGCTGAACATTTGAGATTACTCTCTACAAAGTTGCCCTGGTATAAATTATATTGTATGGATATTTTTGTAGCATTCTTTATAAGTTTATGGGTTTTGTATAAATTGTTATGTGTCTTGCTGTTAAAGGTATTTGGAAAAAATCAAGAAAAATTAAAGGTAAAGGAGAATTAGGGAGATTCTGAAAATTAAAAGGGTCAGAGAAATTTAAAATTCCAAAATTTTGGACCAACTGTTCTGCAAATTTTTCTTTAAGACAGTGTGATATTAAGTAAAGTATATATTATTCTTGGAAATTTAATGTTCTTGGACCTTCCCTCTATATATTATAAAAAATTGGGATTTAAAAAAAATGTCCCAAGAAAGTCTAAAAAAAGTATATATTATTATATACAGGGTGCTACAAATTCGAGGTACGAGCATTGGTATCTCGGAAACCGTAATAGATACGAAGATGGTTAAATTGGATGCCTTGGGATGTTCACCAAGATGCCATCAAAAAAGTTTTAAGGATTGCTGAGTTTTTTGGAAAAAACTGATTTTTTTGAAAATTAATTTTATTTTTTCCTGTCGTTACTTTTTAGAAAATCGAAATTTATTGCACATTCTTATAACCACTTTATACGGGCTATCTGATAGTATTTTTAATTTTTAAATTAGCTGATGATTTGTGAGATACAGAGGTCAACTTAATTTCTTTGAATATGGACCTGCATTTTTTATTTCAGGTTTTGAAAGAACTCGGTCCCAGGAAAATTATTTGATTGTTTATATTATTGTAACGATGAATAGATTAAATATTTAAAAAAAAACAGAGCCGGACTTAAAATTATTTTAAATAAATTATGTTCAAATGTCAAAACAAAAAAAATATTAAGTGTGGCATATCGTTGTACTCAGGAGACCGAGTTTTTTCAAAATCTGAAATAAAAAATGCAGGTCCGTATTTAAAAAAATAAATTGGCCTCTGTATCTCACAAATTGTCAGCTAATTTGAAAATCTAAAAATACTATCAGATAGCCCTAATAAAGTGGCTATGAGAATATGCAATTAGTTTTTTGATTTTCTAAAAAGTAACGACAAGAAAAAATAAAATTGATTTTCAAAAAAATCAGTTTTTTCCAAAAAACTCAGCAATCCTTGATATTTTTAAAACTTTTTTGATGGCATCGTGGTGAACATCCCAAAGCGCAACTTTGCCCCAATTTAAGAATCTTCGTATCTATTACGGTTTCCGAGATACCAATGCTCGTACCTCGAATTTGTAGCACCCTGTATATTAAATTTTATAGTTTATACCAAATATACATTTTGGAAGAAGAGAAGGTGTCCTTGTTTGTGTTATAAAAAGCTCATTTTTGTAATAAAAATTCAGTTTATTTTTGTAATATAAATTCGAATTCATTTTGTCTTTTATTTTTAGGTAAATTTTATTTTTATTTAGCTGATTAAGCATACTAATAACATGCAACATTTATCTGACATGTTTTTATCTAGAGATGGATCCGCCATAGAGATATATACATTTCTTATAGTTTATGTTTATACACTCACTGTCACGAAAAATGGGCACCTTAAAATTTTGATGTAATTTAAACTTTTATATATTTTGTTCTAGTGGGCCGATTTTGATGATTTTTTAAGCAATTTGTAGCTAAATTATTTGACTTTTTATTACTTATCTCTTTCTAAATTAAAAATAAAAGTTTCCATCTGTCAATTATTCGAAAACAAAATGTTGATATTTTGGTGAAAGTTTGAAACACCCTGTGAAACAAAGCAAGGGATATAAAAATAATTTTATAATCTAGGTAGGTACGTCTTTTCGCGATAGTTTGTTTTTTGATTCATCTCAATAGATTTCTTTTCGTTGGAGATATTCGCATTTGAATAAGACGGAAACGATTTCCTAGGTCCTAGTCAACACACATATAAAATAGGTTTCATTGTTTTTGTAATGTCACTATCATTGAAAAGTCATGTTATTATTGTTTATTGACGATTACTCTACTAGAGATGGTTTTAAGTCAGTAATCAGCTGTTGCTGTTTTAGTTGATCATGGTACAGATCAACTTTTGGATTTAAAACCATTCTGCCCAACAAACAATAATAATATGATTTTTCGAAGACAGTGATATTACATAAACAATAAATACTATTTTATAGGTCTGCTGACTGGGATCAAAAGCAAAGGCACGATTTTAATGTAAAAAATACGAAAAAATGTTAGTGTCTTCTTCAAAAGCGAATATCTCCAAAAAAAAAATAAGGCTATTGAGATGAATCGAAAAACAAAGTATCGATAAAAATATACCTAGATGATAAAATTTGCAATGATTTTTAAATTCCTTGTTTTGTTAACGTACTCCATAGGGTCTATCAAATTTTCACATAAAGTTCAAAAGTTTGTTTTCTCCCGTATAAATCACAAACGGCAACGTTCATTTTTAATTTAGAAAGAGATACTAAAAAGTCAAATAGTGTATCTACAAATTTCTTTAAAAAAATCAAAATCAGTCCACTAGAACACAATATATAAAATTTTAAAACACATGAAAATTTTTCAAAACAAATGCGAGGAGAATTTCAGGGGGCGATTCCTTGTTCAAAATAAAGGGTAGTTTGCTTTATAAACGTCAAAAGTCAACCATTAGGGAGATATCGCGGTACAAAGATGACGGAAAAATAATGTTTTTATTTTTTATCTTGAAAACGAAAAGAGATAGACTAATAAAATTTTATGGAAGCATTACTGTTATGAAAACACACTTTCTGGTAATTTTTTCACTTTTTTAAAATGAGTGGAAGGGGTTGAAATAAACTACCCCTATCATTCTTGTTAACGAAATTTAAAGAAAAATCTTATCAAACACATGCAAAAAAAATAATTTGGATAGTTCAGTTGGTTTAGAAACTTTTTTATCTCTTGTATTTTTTTGATAAAACTCGCCGATTTGAAATTAAAAAATAAAATGTAAAGCATTACATGTCAGGACAAAAAACATTTTCTGATAAAGAATCTAGTGGGCTGCTGTAATTTTTTTAGGAAAAAATCTAGTCGGCCGCTGTTACTTTTTAGGATGTTCCTAATATTATTTTATTTGACATTACTCTACTGCAATACGTTATTATCTAGATGATTATTATTATCGTTATTATCACTAGATTCTTAATCTAAAAATGTTCTTTGTCCTGACATGTAATGCTTTACATTTTATTTTTTAATTTCAAATCGGTGAGTTTTATCAAAAGAACACAAGAGATAAAAAAGTTTCTAAACAAACTAAACTATCCAAATTAAGGCATTCTCATGTGTTTGATAAGATTTTTCTTTAAATTTCGTTAACAAGAATGATAGGGGTAGTTTATTTCAACCCCTTCCACTCATTTTAAAAAAGTGAAAAAATTACCAGAAAGTGTGTTTTCATAACAGTAATGCTTCCATAAAATTTCATTAGTCTATCTCTTTTCGTTTTCAAGATAAAAAATAAAAACATTTTTTTTCCGCCATCTTTGTACCGCGATATCTCCCTAATGGTTCACTTTTGACCCAACGTTTATAAGGCAAACTACCTTTTATTTTGAACAAGGAATTACCCCCTAAAATTTTTCGCATTTGTTTTGAAACACCCTGTATATACTATAATATATACCTCTGTGGCGTATTCGTCTCTTCAAAAAAGTCCTATGGCTATTTCGGCAGTGTAAGAAAATCTATAAAATAAGATAGTAATTTTTTGTAAACACTGCTGCGTTAATCCAACGGAGACCAACTTGTCAGCAGTGATTTACTAATAAACAAATGCCTTATTGACAAGAAAATTAATATAACAAACCAGCATATATGTATTTTATTGATTTAGAAAAAGCGTTCGACCGTGTGCAGCTAAGAGACGTTGTACACCTTCTTTAAAATATCCACACAATCCTACACAACCTCGTTGAAACCATAGAAAACATATATGAAGCGAACCAAATTCAAGCCAAAATTAACGGGGTCCTGACCGAACCAATAAATGTAGGCCGTGACTCCCTTAGCCCTCTTGTTTTCAACATCATTATGGCTGAAATAATAGGAAATGTACGTTTACTGAAGGGATACAGTATGGGCGACCAGGAAATTACTATTCTGTGCTATACCGACGACGCCGTATACCAATACGGCTACGTATACGCCGAATACCAATACGGCTACCAAGCCGAAAATGAGGACGATCTACAGCGTTTATTATATCGATTTAACTGCACTGCCAAATTTCTTAATATGATAATATCGACCTAGAAAAGTAAATGCATGACGACATCAAAAGTACCACTAAGAAGCAAACTGGAAGTCGAGGGCAATGTTATCCAGCAAGAAATGAAGTTCAAATATCTAGGCATAGAAATCTCAGGATATAGTGATGTAGAGGTGGAGGTGCGAGAACGGACAACGAAGGCACCCAGAATAGCAGGATGCCTGAATGACACAATATGGCGAAATAAAAACATTGAAGTGGAAACTATGACATACACTGCAAAAACTTGACCTGATACAGCGAAAACTAAACAACTATTAGAGACAACCGAAATGAGGGTACTACACAGAATAGCTGGAAAGACGCTTCTGGACAGGGAGAGAAATAAAAGCATAAGAAGAGCGTGCAAGGTGGAAAATGTAAATGAGTGGGTACTCAGCAGAAAGGAAGAATGGAACGAGCATATCAGCAGAATGGACAAGAGAAGGATAGCGAGAGTTGCACGCGACAAATCACCGCTAGGTCGCAGAAGCTTAGGACGTCCACGAAAACTATGGAGCGACAGCTTGTCAATCTGAACGGTAGAGACGACGAAAACAAACAGGCAATCCATTATTAACATTCCATTATTATTTCATATCTCTTGCGAGAGCCTGGCAAATGTGCAGTTCTTTGAACAGGTGATAATAAGCTATCTCTAACGAGCCATAGGTTTGGTTTGAACGGTATACGATTGAAGAATATTATCTAGAGATAAGAAGAGGATCAAAATAAATCTCTAAAGGTTGCAGTAAAATGTTAATAGCAAAAACTCATAATATCTAATCTAATCTTCAATAATATCGTTATTAATATGAATTTATGCTATTATAATTTAAACTAAATCAAATTGCTTATTAAAATAATAATTGCAAAATTCTGATCATGTTTAATAAAAATAATTTCAAGGCCTTGCCAGAATTATTTAAAGAAGTTACTTTGATAAAATTAAGCAATAAACTTAATTTTAATTAAATAATTTTGCATTAGATGATAAATCTTTTATCGCATATTTTTATATAATTTAGGTTATCTACAAGTGATTAAGATGTATTTTCACTTTTATTA